TTATAATTTTAATATCATATGACCATATGAGAATTATTATTTTAATATCATATGACCATATGAGAATTATAATTTTAATATCAATGCAATAAACATGCATACAAACACATCTATAATAAAGCATATTATAATTTCAGCATTCTTAACTATGAGCTCTATTTTAAATAGTAATATATAATATTTATTGTTTTATTTAACAATAAATTTAAAGAAAATATACTAAAAAGTAAGAATGTATATTATACAGAAAAATTTATTCGGAATCTTAGTTTCTATATTTGATTACAGTATCGAAGTGTATAGCGGTACCAATATGATTGCATTCTAATGAATGATTATATCATTGTTGTTGCAAATACTTTCATATAAAACTTCTCATCCGTATATATATATATATATATATATATATATGTATGTATATAAAATATATGTAAAATTGATGTAAATGATATAAATATTTATATTTTTTTTTTAAGTTAATATAAAAAAATATTTAATACCAAAAGAGGTTAATACCTTCCTTAAGATATTAGGAAGGTGGAAAGGTTTTCCATTGCAAGGTGTGACACAAACCATCGATTCTAATCATTACAGCAACTTGAGTATCAATTTTTTTGGCATTAAATTAAAGATATAGATGTGGATGATATATGATTTATGATGTAAAAGATGCCACAAGCCACACAAGAAATCCGCTTTGGTGATGTGAATTGGGTCCGACTTATCAGTTTGTGCGATTCATCACCACTGAACTTTTTTAGTAGATTCTTACAAAGAATCATATTCGAACACATATTCTCAAACTCGCGACGCTTTAAAAATGAACACTCATCGAGTTATGGCGAAGTTATTAATAGCTAAATAGCTGCAAGTCAAAAGAGGTGCAGTACTAGAAGATGTTCCATTTACGACAAATAGGTTAGTAAGGTTACCAAGGTTAAAAGAAAAGTGGATTTTATTATCTATTAATTTCGAAACCATAAAATAGATGATAACCTGTAGTAAGAAAAAAATCAAATATGTGATAACATTAGATTTAAAACGCATCAGCTTCCTCTAGCTTCCTTTAGCTTATCGACAATAAGCTAAAAAAAATAGATCTATTGGGTATAAGTAAAGTTATCCGTTATTAGTTGAATTATATCCCAAAGTGAGTTTTTGTTCCACATTATTAATCCATAATGCTCTAACTGCTGGCAACAGTCCATCCATATTTACAAACTCTAGACTCAAATATAAAAACACAATTTTGTTTGTTAATACAGTCCTTTCAAGTCTTTTCGTTAAATATAATTACTTTAATAAAATTTTAATAATATAGTTTATATGTCAAATTTAGGAACTGGGTCGTTCAGAAAATATCCGGTTTAGTAACTATGTCAACTAACTGATAAATCAGCGCTTATATGGGAAAATTTTGCACTTATCAATAAATTTTTAATAAAATTTTTCATAACAGTATTTTCATTATACTAGATAGTATTACCTAAACTATATCAGTTTTGATTTCGGTTGGGGCAATATATTGTTAGAAAAACTATTTATCTAACATTTAGATGTCACCTTTTGAAAAAAAATCAATTAATCAATCAATCAACCATTCCAAAGTGAGAGACTTCATCAAATATATATCGAATTGGCAACTAACTCCAGTATATAGGTATAAAACCACCCTTCATATTTTATAAAGAATGGCTTAGAAAATGTTATATACGTCTATTAAATATAACTTGCTGCTAAGGTCTTGTTAGACATTTTTTTTCTGTTAGATGGAAAGTTCTAAAGTGTTAAACAGTGTGAGATTTAAACCCACTAAAACCACCTCTTAAGATTGCAAAATCTGTCAAAAGCCGAAAAACCATTCCATTTATCAAGGGAAAGGCAGACATTAGAATACAGAAGGATTAACAAAATTTGTAAACAGGTGAGGAAAGAAAGGGAGCATGTTCTTACTAAGCAGTCTAAGTAAACTTTGGCTCATTAAAATCAATCATCAAAAAGTGACCTTTATACTTTTTCTTATAATAATGGAATAAAATTATAGATTTGCATAAGCACTAATGTTATCTACTATTCTTTATAAAATAATATTTAATATATGATAGAATATGATAGAAAAAGAAGAGGCAGGGCGTCAAGCTGTATCAAATAGATTGAGAGTTTCAAATGAGTTTGCAGTAGAATTTCCATTGTCTCCTAAAAAAAGATACCACAATAATATTTTTTTGATTTTATATTCTATGTACCTATATTTCATTCTTAATATGTTTACATATTTTAAATAAAAAAAATGCTTTGAAATCAAATACTTTTTCCACAGCAAATAAAATAATCCTGATAAGATTTTAAAAAACAAAAAAATATTTCTGTTTTTAAAAATATTTGTTGAAATATTTGAAATGCCTTCCTATAGAAAAAATTTTTTTTTAATTTATAATCAAAAACTAAAGAAAAATTCATAATATGCAATATATATAAAACTAGTCGAGGGGTGTAAGAGAAGTGTTGGATTTGAACAGACAGCAACGTTTGACAGCAACAAGTGTTTTAAATTTTCTGGAAAATGTTTTAAAGAACAAAACTATATTTAATAATTTTTTTCATTTGTCAACTTCAAGTATTTGGTTGGTTGGTTGTAGTGGCCCTAAACCCTAAAATAAAAGAATAGAGACTAAATCAATCCTGTCGAATTTAAGTAATTAATTTGGTCTTTCGTCTTAATCGATGAATAGTCTGATAAACTGTGACAGAACTACCTCTCTAAAAATCTATTTCTGCTGGACGACAAAGCCGGGCTTTCATGAAAAAAGTGTTTAATGAATTTTTTGTCCTGCAGGTTTCCACAACTTCTGCAGTGAAGATTATGAGGAATGCACAGTTGCTCCGCGTAGGTTCTTAAAATATCAAGTTCCAGGGAAAATGAAATTTTTATTTTTAAATAGTAATACGCCATAATAACAGTAAAAATTAAGTGTTACCAATTTACTTTAATGAAATCTTTAAAAACCTGCATCAAATCGTATTTAATGTTTACCGAATAAGCAATTCCAATGCTATCAACCAAGAAGGATATGGAATTACAAGTGTATGTTCTTGACTGATAACCGTTATGTAATATTACTAAATAAATAGAAAACACTGAAAAATGTACATAGTTACAAGGAATTCCAGTCACTTTTAAGCGAACACTATAGCTAAAACTTATAAATTAACATCTCTCTTATTCACGCTAAGAGAGAAGAAGAAAGACCTGAACGCAAACTAAACTAAAACGAAGAGCAATCTGATGATTTTCCAATTCAGCGCAGGTGTGGGATCCTAGACGCATGTTTACGGAAAGCATATAGCATGCTTGGCCAAGTTATACGGGATCTTCCCTGAAGTAATACGAAAGCGGTCCCGGTGGGAGAAATCCCGCAGAAAAGAAGGAGATATTTTAATTCCTATATTACAAAGTAAGAGTCGGACACACCATTGCAGCGATGACCATTCCACCTCCTCACCACAAAAAAAATCCCTCTTATTCATCATATTAGACCCGCAGTGTATAAATAGATAGTTTAGATCCAAGATAAAATATTTTAATCAAATGAAGAAATGATATCCGCTGTAAATATATATTTTAATGGAGAAATTAAAGAAGATGGAAAAGTGTATGGAGTTAAAACGTATATTTTGTCGGAGAGTAGCAACAAAAAATATTTTGAATAATTTTAAACTTTTTAAACACCCTTCGTAAGTAAAAGAATTGTTTGCATTTATCTTTATAATAATTTTTTGTTAAATGGTATATCAATATTTTTTTGTTTCTCTAAGATTGCAAGTAATTAATTACTTATATTTCAGTTAACGGATAAGATATAAAGCATTTTTTAAAAACGTTTATCATCAAGTGCGTAGGTAAATTATAAAAACCGATAAATAACACATTTACTATATATAAATATGTAGTGCATATATGTATCACAATATATAATTTATTTATGCAATATCAAATATCAGATACATCATTTCTCTATGCAATAAATACATGAATATATGCGACAGCCGACATAGATTTAAAAATCTATGTGAATCTCCGGAGTACATTATATCTGTAGTTCTAAATTTAAAAATCATATTAAAACTGTTGACCAGATCAAATCTAGAGAATATTGTATTTTAAACATAGTTGTGCATCTAAAGATCATTTTAAGATCGGTTTGTGTTATAAAACCCAAAGATATAATATATATATTCCATCGTCTTTTACAAATATTCCACCATTTCGATATTTTTTCTTCTAGTATATTTTTTTGCTGAGACTTTATGAAGGTCATAGATTTAAGGAGACTTTGAGGATACTTTTTACTATATCTCAAAATTATATATTTAATATGATATTGTTTATCAACAAATCGGAATCAATGGATTGTTTATGGAAAAATCCACAGCATTCATAATGTGATAATGCATTGTACGATAAATGCTGATCCTATGTGTCGTATTCTTTTAAGAAAAATTTAGACGTTATAGAGCGAATCGTTAATTTTTGGACGGTCTTGTAGTGTTTCGTTTTTAATATGCCTGGCTTGTCGATTTCTTCAATATTTTTTCTTCTTAATTGCGCTGTTCTAACACTTTATTGCCTTCACCAAATATCAAACAGAGCTTTGGTACTTGGGCTACTTGTGTACTTAGGCTTACTCAATTTCTGGACGTTCACTACATTGTTTAACACTTGTATTTTCTTATGTTTCCCCTTTCCTCAGTGGTAATATACACTGAACTTTTTGTAGCATTTCTTCTAATAAATACCTTCTAACGGTTTTAAGCTTAACCCGTGATCATTCCATCTTTTTAATAATTTATTATAATCATTTTTTCAAAATCGAACTGATACTTTCTAAGCACACAAGCAATGTACATATGTACAAGAACTTATTTTTTTTTGTATGTAGTATATATATAGAAATAATTAAAATATATTTATTTTAACTAAAATCTTTTCGCATTTTTAGATATATTCTCTCTCTCTAATCACATCAGACACAATGCCCACCAAAGAACAAAATGGTGGTGTAAGCATTATAAAAAAGCTACGCCGATCAGCTTCAGCCACAGAGCATAATCTAAGTGAGTTGCGGAATCGTAAATCCACATCAAACCTCTTCGATCAAAATGGGATACCTATAGATTTACGACAATTTCGAAAAGTGCTCGATAGAGATGAAAATGGCAATGGTAGCTCAGAGAAGAAAATGAGATATAGACGTACACAAAGTGTAACACGAGCCGAAGAAATTACAACCAAAGAAGAGAAACAACGTAAAAAGCAACCAGATAAACCGTAAGTTACTTCGAACAATGACATTTAAGTTCTCAGACAAAATATAACAAAGATTATGATGTACTATATTAGAATATTTATCTTTGCAGTTGCCATCGTCCACGGGACTCATTATTTTCATGGAGTTCTGGTTTCAGTAATTTCACAGGTTTAGTCAATTGGGGTTTTCTATTACTTACAATTGGTGGTTTTCGTTTATGTCTAGAGAATCTACTTAAGTATAAATCAAGTGAGTTGCTTGTAACATGCAGTTATATAAAATCTTGTTTTTATTCTAGATATGGTATACGTATTAATCCCATCGAGTGGTATTTCTTTTTAAGTGGCCAAAACGAAGGCGAGGGACACGCATCTCTTTTTTTGATACTATGTAAGTCTGCATCGTAATTAAGTGATTATATTTACCTAGATCTTCTAGTTATATTAAAATTTATTAAGACGCTATATGTTAGTGTATGTAGATACATACAAGAATATATATAGGGACTTTTCTCATTTATTTATGTTGCAGTTAAACCCTGAGCTAAACATATATGAATAATATTAGGTATATATGAAAAGTATAAAAATAATAAGCAAGTTTCCAAACATAAAATCTGACCTTCCTTAAGATACGTAGGAACAGATGCGATAGAACATGGTACGGTTTAATGCCATATGAAGTGCGGCAACTATATCGATGATGCTTACTGTTATATACCGTATCTGTTTGTATCTTTATAAAAACAGAAAAATGAAAATTCTTGGTAACATGGGTATCTTTATACTTGTTCCGCTCATCACTGATTGTGACATAAAAACACTGCTCAAAAAAAAAAATAGTTAATTCATTAGGAACTAATAGATTAGAGTTTACATCTATCTTATATCAAATCTAATAATATTATATAAATTTTACAGATTCCGTTGTACATATATCGTTATGTCTATTGGTTGAGAAAGGGCTAGCTATGGTAAGTATTTATATTCTATTTTTTGTTGATCTAATATTTAAATGTAGCACTTATTCTGCTACTTAAGTTAGCAAAATAAAATTTGCATATGACAATGCAAAAAAAAAAAGATTAAATATACTATCGTATGTTTGCAACATAGATATTAACAAACCACAGCTCTTAGATGTATTTCAATCAAACGTTAAGTGGTGAAATATAACAAATTGCCTAAAAATTATATATATTACAGGACATTATAATATATATATATAATTATTTAAAAAACCAAAATACTGCTAAACAGTTCTACTATATATTTCAAAATAGTACATCACATTAGAACATCTTATGATGATCAAACATTGCTAAATAACTCGCTCCTTAAAGCTCGATCATATTTGAATAGCTAGTCTAAACACATTTATAGTACTAAGTTCTAATTAATATTGTTTAAATCTAACCAAAAATATTTCGTTCTATTTCTGTGTTAAAGTACAAAATAAATTGAAATTGAATTTATAGTTATTCTTATTATTATCATTATTATTATCAATTTGATTGTTGTTGAATAACTGTAACATTGTTTTAAAACTATTTTTAACAGGCAATGTGGAATTTCTAATTACGATTTTAAATCTTAAACAATTATTTCTGATTTATATTTTTTACGATCTTGATTCGAGGTTAAATATATAAAATTTATAAAATTTGTTTTTTAAATTAATTTGTTAAATACACATTGCATTAAATAAATAAAAAAAATATAAAGAAATTAAGTGTTTATAGTTAAATAAAAATAACGCGGAGTTAGGCGATGGCCACGCCTGCTTGATCACAGTACTTTTTCAAGGCTTCCTGATGCCTATCGCCCATAGTAGCAATTAACGCTGCAATTTCTCCACGATGTGCTTGTGCTAATTTGCCCACACTTTGGGCTAAATATAAACGTGCATCTTGTATTTCTGCTAAAAAGACTTCCTGTTTTGGTTGGGCATAGCTCAACTGTGAAAAAGCTGCCTGATAACCCGGTTCATCATCAACTTCAATGAAATGATCACCATCTATTGTGGTTTGATCAGGTGGCAATTCAAAAATTTCTATTACAGATTGTAATAGGCGTGACCAGTTTTGAACATAAGGTGGTTGCATCATAGCTGGACATTCTGTGAGTATTTTCGTAACACCAACTGCAACAATTTTTCTATCCATATCAGTATTAACTTTAGCCATTTCGGGTATAAATAAACGTTCGATTACCATACCAAACATAGAAGTTTGAATTGTATCTATCAATTGTACTAAAGTCGTTGCCCCTTGTTTTGCACTGAAGAACGAGAAAAATACAATAACACCACGCACCAGTTTCGTTGTTTTTGATGATGATAACCGATGGAACATTAAATTAAATACGCGTTGCATATTTGGCTCCAATTCCTTGTAAGGATAATGGCTTATTAAGGTTTGCATGAGATAGAAACCTTCCTGATCGTTCGATTTTGATACAATCATTTTTTGATAAATTCCTAATAGTCCATTCTAAAAGTTAAAATTTTTAATAACAACAATAAACTTAACATTATAAAAAGCAGTTTATTTACCAATTTATCTGTTGAAATTTGGCTTGGTCCTTGTTTAATAAAGGCATTTAAAAGTCTTATTAGTGGTTTAACATTGCCTGGACGATCCCATAATGTAGGGCTCAGTAAACAAGGGAATAATTGCCAATACGGTTCGGGGATTACACCTAAATCTTCACGTATTTCTAATAGAAGAGATAACAACTGAAAGACGTATGGCATGAATTCTAAAATATCCTGCTGCAATATGCCCTGAAATACTGGAAACAGAACTTCTTCAAAAGAGCTTACAGCATTCTTTTCCGCTTTACAAACAATTCTGTAGGAAAAAAGATCATTTAATTTTTATTTAAAATATGACGTCAGCTCATTAAACGTACTTTACTGTTAACGAAAGAGTCTCGAAGAGGTAATGATTAAAATGTGGTCGCGATGGATTTTTAGATACCTGTGCCAATATTTCAGTAAGGCGTGGCAATGCTATTGCCATATATGACATTGTTACTTCTTGCAACAAGGAATATGTGCGCATAATTGCTAAAAAAAAATATATTAAAAATCAAATGTAAATTATTGACAAAAACAAAACTAACCTTTCATTACGTACTCGTTCTCGCCAGAGTTTGGCAGTGTTAATGTGTTGAAAAGAGCAACCAAAAATTCATTGGAATAAGTTAAGAAATGCTGCCTCTCAATGCTAATGACAGAATGAATTTTGCATATTATAAATATACTTATATATCATTAAATAAAAGCTACAACTTACGTTGCCACATTATTCAAGCCGCGCAATGTCATCATCTTCTCAATGGCACACGCCGCATAACTATGCACAACAACGCTTTCTGCCTGCAGATGACGTATCATATGTGGTATACATGCAACTAATATTTGTGCTCCCAAAATGCTTCGGAAGGCCATAATGAACTTAATAGCAGATGACTTCAAAACCGGCAATTCATTAACTATATTAAAAAGTTAACAAAACAATTACTGAAAACACTGCAATATTCTTAATATATTTTTCGTTATCTACCATTTTGGCTTTCCAATTCTGGTACAATGTGTTGTCCACAAAATTGTGGCAAGGGCACTAGTTCTGAGACCTGAGTAATGCCATGTTTTTGTGTGCTGCCGCGCGATGCTAGAGCTATTACTAAATATATAGCTGTGTCCTTTGATCGCCAATTTGTTGTTGGATTTTCTTTATATTTGTCAAGCAAAAGGTTCATATATTGTCCGAATATACTAAATATTTTTTGCTCATAGTTTTGACTTAAAATTTTGACCAAATCACAAGCGGAACGTCGTCTTGTATCAATGTCAGAACCTTCAATATCCCGTCTTATATACTCCTCGGGGCTATCTTCAAATAGTTCCTCATCAGATTGACGAAAGTCTAAATTCGGTATAATCACCTTTTCGCATATATTGGCAAGTACTTCGGGACGTTCAAATAAATCTCCGTACTGCTTACGTTCTGCTACTGCAGTTAAGAAACTCAGCGCATTGGATACAAGCTAAAAATTTAAAGTTATATGGCTAAATAACATATAGAGACTTTAGTGAGGCCAAACTTAAACTTACCGCATCAAATTTAGTGTGTAAACTAGTTTTAACTAACAATTCCCAAACAGCAGGAACAAATATTTCAGTATATTTCCTAAACTCTTCGTCATACTTTTTCACATACAAGCCAATATTACAGCATATTTGTGAACGCAAGTGCTCGAGTACACCAGCGTTCTCATCCTCTGCCGTTTGCAAGCAAGGTACATCAACAGTTAATAACGTATGAAACGCTGGCATCCAAGTCTCCATATTATCCTCAAAGAATTCCGGCAAATCTTGTGAATTTAATGAATAAAATACTTTGCAAACCAAAACCAATGAACCGTAAATGACTTTTAAAGCTTCTACATTGTTCTTGTGTACATTAGTCATTTCCATTGTGGCTAGTAATAGATTTGTCAATGGCTGCGCCATTCGATCCAATACCAATTTTATTTCTTCCCACAACTCTTGACTCTTGAATGAGTAACGATAATGCTTGAAAATGGAATGTGCTGTTTGCAAGACGCCATTGATCATGTTGAAGTCACCAGTAGCAAACTTTTCAACCATTTCATCAATAAGATTTGGCCATTTCTTTGGGAAATCTGATTTTCCAATTATACTAACTGCATCGCTAAGTTGATTTTGTATTGCAATGGGCGACTTTAACATTAGGGCAACTATTAAAGATTTAACTAATACACGATCATCTTCATGAATTTTTTCATCCTGAAATAATAAAATGCTTGTTTATTAAAGGCAGAAATATTTAAAATATATTAATAATAATGTTTGTCATTATAGAATAATGTTAAGAAGTTTGCATTGAAGTGGATTATACGTTTACACCTATTTTTATTCTAAACGTTCATAATATCATAAAATATATACACATAATTATAAAGAATAAACATTGTTTTTGTTGATTTTAAATTGCACTAAATATTATCAAGATAATGTTATGTATATATGTACGTATTAGACAATATCGGTTTTCATATTTTGTTGCCTGCCTTTTCCACTGTAATTTTTGTGTCTGTTCTAGCTTTTCTTTTTGTACAGTTGATTTTTTTTATACTTGATTATAAAAAAAATGATATATTTTTTATATGAAACCCCAGATTTTATAAATAATTATACATGCTTAAAACATCCCGATCAGTTTTCTTTACTGCATTTCTACTGAGATATCTCCCTGACTTTTTAATATTTCGAAATTAATTAACGAAACCTGCTTTTAGAAATACTATTGGAACCCAGCGTTAGAACCAACTCTTCAGTTTACTATGTTAACATTGCGAACCAGCCATCCAAATATATAAATTTATGCTGGAAAACAGTTTCCAGCAATTATCACATATTATACCATCCTTACTGATCCTATAATGCAACATTTTGCAACTGAACAACAAAATAAATTATTACAAGATCACTTAATAAAATAAATAAAAAAAGATAAAATTATCTGCGTTAAGATTTCACCAGCGTACGTCACCGCAGCCGGTATGCGTTTTCTATTTACAAGTTTTATTTATAAACTATTCCATCACTCTTAAAAACATATCTACATGAATTATAATTATATTTTAATATTTGTCTGCATTCTATCACTTATTGCTTACCTCCGCTATCCAATTGCGTTTTATGAAATTCTTAAAGGAAATTGCACCGGCAACACGTATTGTCATATCCGCGTCCGCTTTGTCTATCAGATTAAGCAGAAGTACCGCATAATTTTTTTGCACTTCTATAGATTCCAATAACTTTTCAGCTACAAAATTCGAAACCAGATTAATATACAAACTACTTAATATATATATAAATAAGAATATGAAACATAAAACCAACTTACCAGGACGCCGGATACTAGGGTCGGAGCTCAGCGTCTGTTGTAAGTAGCCGGCTAATACTTGCAAATTTTCTGCAGTTACTTCCATATTCCTTGTTTGAGTAATTGCAATAAGATAATTAAATTGTTAGATTTCTTTCTTGTTGAACGAATAGTTCTCTTATATTAATTAATTTATCTTAAATGTGAAATTCAAGTCTGCTGTTCACAACAAAGCACCATCACAACATGCAAAACGAGTATGAAATTCCAACTGCACAGCGTGATTACGCGCGATGAGTAAAAACCGTTTTTTTTCTCTGTCAATTCCTCTACATTGAAATCTCTTTTATTTCTCATTTGTTGTGTCAAAAAATGTGCGCAGGGTTGCATTTCAGCACATGAAATAATAATTTTAAAACATATTCACCATATATATGTTATAAATATGGTATACAACAATAATAATAATAATGCATTAAAAAATATATAAAAATTTGAATATATTTTTAATTTTGAGAAATTGCAACATAAAAGAAAAGCAACATAAAAGAAATACAATTAATAAAAATATAATTTATAAAATTCCATATAGTAAAAAGAATTGACTAGCTAAAAAAAGAAATCGTAAAGTAAAATAATTTTTGATAGCAATACTTCAAAGATATATGCATAATATTACATGATATTTTCGCATAAAATATTATTGAGGAACTTGTTATAATTTTATTTAAATTTTGTGTTTTGTATTCAGCATATACCATGCGTTAAAATATTTTTGCAAATTATATAAACTATATAACATACAACAATTTATTTAAAATTATTGCAAATTTTATAGAAATATTTAAAATATTATACAGTTATATTAATAATAATATAATATTTATAGTATTTATTATTGTTGCCGGTAAAGCTACGCTTTCTTTATAGTGACGAAGAAGCGATATTTTAAAATTTTTTAGAAAATTTTCGAATAGCAAAGAAAGAAAGAAAGGACAAACACAAAAATTTTTATTTTTAATTTTATTGAAATTTGGCTGACCATACAACGCTGTTTCGAGTATTGCCAAGTACTCTTCATCAGTGGTCTTAAGAAATAATCAAATTTTATTTAATTCGTTTATAGTCCGTATAAAATTTTTATAATACAATAATTTTCACCTCAGCATTGTGGTGAAAACGAAAGCATTTTGGCAGGTCTTTTTAAATGATCAAACAACCAAAAATTTTAAAAGATAATTACGAAAAGAAAAACATAACATTCGCATACTTAAATTGCATTATAAAAAATCAAATATGATATATTTAAGCGGTATTATCTGTTTTTATATCAAAATATTTCCTCAATGCCTTTTACGCGGCGTTATAACAAAAAAGAAAGCTCTTCAAAAGCATTTCAATAACAATTTCTTTCCGAATAGTTCGTCTAATTTAATACTCGTTAAACAACAAATTAATAACTTCACTTAAATTCAAATAAATGTTAATAAACAAAGATATTAAAATATATTTTATCTTACAGGAAATAATTTCGGAGGGCCTCGGTATGTTTGTGCAAGTTCTCAATATTATTGTGGTTGTACTGTTGCCAGTCGTGATTATTCATCTAAAAGGACATCTTTTTAGTTTAAGTAAGTACATATTTTGAAAATATTAGGTAAGTATATATTTTTAAATTAAAATAGTTATGTTAAGCCTTTCCCGAGTTGCGCATCTGGGCACTTTTACTCTATGATAGCTGAGGGGATTCTGCAGAGTCCCGCCCATCTCACTGATTAATTCGAGTATTCCTGATAATCTTCGTGATTATTCAATGATTGATCTAAGATCTACGTACCGCCCCATGCGGTTAGTGAACACTCTGAGATTATATAGTGCTAAGTAGAACAGCCTGTCGGTTTTCGCATATAGGTTCAGAGCCCATAGTTGTTATTATGGTTACTTTCTTAGAAGTCGTTTTCAATTTAAAAAAAATGTTGAAAAAACTTTACTAAATACTTATGGTAATTTTCAGTGGGGGCTTCAACAGTTTGTTTTTTTTATTCCATTTTGTTTTTGAAACTGTGGAGTTATGTGCAAACAAATATGTGGTGCCGACAGACATATCATATGAAACAATATAATCCCAGAGAAAGACGTCCTAGCATAACAGTCGCTGAGTTGAGTAAGTAATTAGCAATCTATTTACATTTATTAATTTTAACTTTACAATATTTTTAAATTTCATATACTACAGAAAATGGACACTTGGATCATGAAGAAGAGAAGGATGAAGCTATACCCGAATTAGTTCAATATCCCGATAACCTCTGTTACAATGACATATTTTATTTTCTCTTCGCTCCAACATTGTGTTATGAACTGAATTTCCCCAGAACGACACGCGTGCGTAAACGTTTTCTACTCAAACGTTTGTTGGAAGTGATTTTCGGCGTGAACGTGGTTATGGGTTTGTTTCAACAATGGATTATACCATCAGTGCGTAACTCTTTGATACCATTTTCGAATATGGATGTAGCTTTGGCTACAGAACGTTTATTAAAACTGGCTGTAAGATATACATATATGTGAATGTATTATTTTAGATTAACACTTCACTTGATTCTTGATTTGTAGTTACCGAATCATTTGGTATGGCTATGCTTTTTCTACTTAACGTTCCATTCATTTCTGAATGCCATTGGTGAACTAATTCATTTCGCTGACCGCAACTTTTACTGCGATTGGTGGAACGCCAACAATATCGACACCTTCTGGCGCACATGGAATATGCCCGTACACAGGTAAGCAATTACTCTCTTAACCTTTTGCAAGCTAAATTCAAAATTCCGAATATCTTTAGATGGTGTGTACGACATTTGTATATACCAGTAGTACAAATGGGTTACTCATCTAGGCAAGCTTCTACAATTGTATTTCTTATCAGTGCTTTCTTCCATGAGTATTTGGTATGTTTATAATACGTGGTTTTAATTTAACATTTTATTAAATAAACATTTTTGATTATTTTTACAGGTTTCCGTTCCTCTACAAACTTATAAAATATGGGCTTTCCTTGGTATGATGGGTCAAATACCACTGTCAGCCATATCTAAATTTGTTGAACGCAGTTTGGGTCCACGCATGGGTAACATTATTGTCTGGGCATCAATCATACTGGGTCAACCACTTTGCATTATGATGTATTATCATGATTATGTGGTCACGCACTTCCATAACGCGCTCAACAGCACAGTATACAAAGAGACTTAATCAATCCTTGCCCACTTAAGCTAGACGCACATTTACGAACATGATTTTGCTGTTTTTTTTTTATAAGACAAATATTTTGCATTTAAATTTAAAGAAAATTTAAATTGTTTTTTTATGAATTTTAATATAGTGAAGTACTACTTTTTGCCAATATATTTTTGTAATTATATTATATTACAATTTTGTAGACAAATCAAAATAAAATACATGTATGTATGTATATTGTTAAATACTGTAATTTAGAATAAGAATAAACAAATCTGAGTTATGAAAGTTTGAGAATTTCGATGTTAAGCTTTTTTAATGAAATCAAATGTAAATAAAATATTTGAAAATATAATCTAAATTTGACTTTTATTAAAAAATAGGCAGGCGTTAGTAAGATTAGTTATAGATGGCATTTGTATATCTTGAGAAAAGACGAAAAATTTCCTAGGGTTTAAATCAAATAGATAGAGAAAGTAATAGTCAATTTTCAATTTACTTTAAAGCGACATATAAATTAGAAGAATGTTGGTCACAAAATCTGTGCTCCTAATTGAAATAACTCTTCCTTTTTTGAACATTAGTTGGTTCCCGATCAGATAAGAAGAGAGAAGCATTGCATTCTGATAAACGCATTTCACGTCTTTCTTTAGAGTGAACTGATTTTTGAAAAATGCAAGCTTATAAATAAGCATTGATGGAAGCGGTGTAATTTAATCTTATATTTTCAATTATTAAAATATATATTTGTGGTATGTAAATTTATAATAATAGAATCAGAATTAACACTTAATAGTTTATATCTGTAAGCAAGTCAATTACAAAATTAGCATTTCAAAGCACTACAAAACAATACCAAAATATTATGGCTCTAGCCTGACTTGCACCAACAAGGTTCTTCATGGTAAGGTAACTAAGCATGGGATATGTACGTTTGTAAATAACAATTTAATGCAAAACTGCTTTTTAACTACGAAATTAAAATAGTGCATTTAGCTCTTAATAAAATATTGCATTTAACAATTTAATATGTATTTAATAAACACATTCATAAATACATAAAACACGTTCAATACGTTTCATTTCTCTTTGATGTTTTGTTCTATTGTTTAGTTACGAAAACGCAACTATAAAAAAATGTCAAAAACAATAATTTTGCTGAAGCGCAATAGACTAACCAGGGTTGCAGCTTCAAAAAGATATAAATTACATGAAAAATTTCTACAAAGTACTATATTTCTTTAAAACGTATCAATTCTTTTGTTTATATGTACTAATGATTTCAGAAGGGTATGACCATTCTTAAATAAATAATAAGGCTTTCAAAATGTATTTTGTGCTTTTATATTTAACTTCTCTTTCTACTGTTTTGTTTTTCTAAAAACAACCTTTGTCGCCAAGCTTTACACAAAGCTGTTTTACGAAAATTTGTTTAAAGATCGTAATCTGGTACTTTGTGTTTTACTCGAGTTTTACTACGAGTAGTTCGTGTAACACATCTAATAAAATCTTAGTTTTTATTAATTAAATATGTAATTGATATAAAAAATGTATATAAATCATTTAATATATCAATTATAAACATAATTTTTTTGTGTGATATATTATTAAGTGAAGATTATAAACGTTGTATGAGCTGCATAAATCAGCTCATTATAATGTGAACGTTTCCTAATTAAAACTGAGCAAGTGCCTAAATAAGACAGTGTGAATTTACTATAATTGTCACATATTTAGTGAGTTAATTGCAAAAAAAAACATTAATTGCATTTGTGTATGTATACCAAAGCATTATTATTATTTCAAAAGGGGTAGTGCACTGTGACCTAAAATACCTATTGTGCCCTTAGTAGCAAACATTTATTTTTAAAATAATCATACTTTTTTTTTATTAATAAGTAATTAGAAAGCGATTTTATAGACAAAATTAGTTTTATTAGACATCATTAATACATTTAAGTAAAATGTATAATAAATTATGCATTATGTGACCATAACAGATAATTATAATTAATTTTAATTAGTAATTAATTAATATATTTAACTAAAATATGTAATAAATTATGAATTTAATTAATAATTATATAATACATTTAAGTAAAATATATAATAAATTCAGACCTGGAGAAAGACAATTCAGCAGGAGACGAGCAAATCGTTTAACGAGTTAAGAGCAATGGCACAAAATAGAAACCAGTGGAAAACTCTTGTAGACTCCGTAAGCTCCTAATGGAGTATGGAAATAATATAATATAATAAATTATGCATTATGTGACCATAACAGATAATTATAATTAATATTTTTATTAATAATAAAGCAACGAAATCTCTATTGTGTATTTTTGATTTTTACGTATTGTGAATTTATATTGATTATATTAGGAATTCTCGATTTCTATTCTGCTTTGTGCTGATTTCTCCGCACCACACCATTGTAAGCAAGAAAAGGAAAGAAATACAACAATAATTGCAGCTGGCAACAAACGCACGTAGATTCGCATTTGCGTCTTGTCTGTAGCCGCTTGTCAGGGTTTTATTTAGGGAAAAGTGTTAGATTTTGTGTGCAATTGGGTGGCATATTTATTTAAAATATTCAATGTATAAATTTATCAATTGACCAATATTTTAAGGTTGAACGAACTGAAAAAAAGGTATATTTTGTGGTACGGTCAATTCGTTTGCTTATAAAATCAGTTTTTTACTATTGTGCTTTTATCGCGTTCACTTGACTATCAATCAAATGTTTTCTTTTTTGCTTCACTTCTGTTTCTTCAATTGGCCAAAAAGGTTTCAATTTCAAAAGCCGTGCGTTTACATCATACTTGCATGTGATCTGCAATTTATTTATTAGAATTCTGCATTTATTTAAATAAGAGAATTAAAATGTTGTTGCTTTGCCGAAATTTCAGAAATAATCGATTTAAAGTTTTGTCCTTATTGTCCGAGAATATCGTACCATTTAGCGAAGTGCGTGCAATATCTATTTTGCGGCAAACTACACAAACAAAACACGCAGAAAGTAGTACTGATTCTAGTACGACAAAAAATCCATCGCCTAATAACCTCAGTCACGTAAGCCAATGATATTTGATAAGTAGCACTACAAAGCAAATATAGTAAATAATTAGATATTTATGAAATTCTGTTTCTGTGCACGATTACTAAAATTATACTCCTACAGGCTATGGGCGGACGGAATCGCGGTGCTATGAGTGGAGGTGGCAATCCGGGTCGATTTATGAACAATGACAATTACCGTGGAAACAATGACAACTTCCACGGCGGCGGTTTCATTGACAATTTTGGAAGTAAGTGAAGGACCCTTTGTATCCTCAACAGTTATTAAGGATACTTATTATGTTTCATATATATTAGTTTCTTAGTTAAATCCGATACTTATTTTCTTTACAATATGTTTATTGGTATTAATTTGACTTTGCTTGAAATATTGCAAAACGCATTTTGATATGACAATCGATAGGCAATATCACGAGGAGTAGAACTGCATTTGGAATTCATATATTTAAGCATGTGGTTATATCCATATGCTTCAATAAAGGTAGGATAATTCTTGCTGCATTAGTAAGACATATTTCATCATAAGTGATATGAATTTGCGTCATAATGAGAACTTTGTTGTAATGCGAAAGTGTTTTCGAAGAAGACTCTGCTTCTATACGAAGAGTAGTATTTCTTCGTTTTGGATCGACTCAACCTTTCGTGGCTTCGTTGTAATAGATATCAATGTATTCATAAAGTTAAGGCGAAAATTGACATATGCAACTTCGAGGAAGAGCTCGCTTCTTGTAGTGCCATTGGAATGTTCTTTTCTTTCGTCTATTATAAATAGAATAAAATTTTATAATAGAATTAAAAAACTGTTTATCATTTTGAGATCCGCATGAAGACAGTCAAAGTGCGACCGCAGCTAGTTAAAATTCTTAGGACTGAGTTTTGCCTTTTAAATTGTTGATTAGTCAGTTTTGCTGTGGTTAAGCTGTTATACTGTTTGTTTTTTATTTATAATTTAATTTTTCATCAAATTTTTTATGAAATTATTTTCATTTTTTTCATAAGAACAATTTCTTTAAGTGGATAATTTAATTAAAATCAATGTAATTATATTTTAAAGTACTAAACTATTCGCTTATCAAAAAAATATATCTGATTATAGCCAAAAAATAACTTTGGCAGATGAAAATTCTTGTTCAATTGGTTCAAACTGGATAAGAAATCTATCATTGTCCACTATGGCTGTAGTGCTAACAGGTCACTGCGTACTAGAAAAATATATTATTAGACTGTGAGGAGGAGGAAAATCTGTTTCACTTTCTTTGTCAATGCCCATCTTAGGCCAACAGAAGATAAAAATATTTAAGGTACCTTTTCTTATAGACCTGACAGTCGTAATCTTGCAAAATAAATAATTTAGCTAAGTTTATATATTTGTTAGATTTGGTTTACGTTCATTTAAATGGGTGGAGTCGTACCTTACAGCGTTGTCTATACGCTGATCAATGCGGTTGTTCTTTACGGCCATTCTGAATAACACTAATCCGAGATATCACAATTGGTCATTATATGTGCCCCAGTGAACTTTGGTATACGTCAGCTGCCAATGAGTGTTTATTCAAAATTATTGTTAAAACATTCGGGTTGTGGGTTCATAATTTTGAATAAGGATAATTTGGGTTTCTACGATATATAAATAAACGCAATATTAAAGATAGATATATATAACATATAGGTCCAAACTTTGTTAAAACGATGTTTTTGCTAACGATATTGATGAACGTGCTCTCATCTGTCTATAAATAGGGTTCTTGTCTCACTAAAGTAAATTGGAACTGTTTGCATTTGTTTACTAAACACAACACTACTAGAATACGTTCTTGAAAATATATATCTCATTATTTTCTACTTGTGATTTCGGGACATAGACAACTGGCCGTTCAAGAAAACAATTTGATTAATTGTTTAATTAATTTAATTCTTATTTATTTATTACTACTTTATTTATAATTATGATACTCGCCTTTTATTCATATTTGTCACATGATTCGTATTACATTTATTTATTTCGTCAAATAACTTACCGTAAGTTATGTAATATATCGCTATTAAAACAAAATTATGTATAACATGGGCGTACATAGGTAGGGGCTAGGGCTCGTCACCCCCTAGATTTCAAAATGTTATTATTGTTTTGAATAAAAATTTTATACTGTTTACAAGAAAAGTTTAAAATTTGTCTAGGGCCCCCTAATTTCGGCCTTGGGTACGCCTATGATGTATAACATGTGTCATATAATTATTGTGAAACACTCATTTGGTTACGTCAATAACATTTCCTCATCATATTTAGCATAAATATATTGTGTAGACTACACTATTTATATACCATCCATACTGAAAGCAAAGATTCACTTTGTCTTGAACTTGAGGATAGCAAGATTGCTTTTTAAAATAAAATAAAATAACATTTTTAGCTTCTAAAGACTGCTACTATTATGTGGATACGCGTATATTAGTCAGTAAAAATATGATATAGATTCTTTTCAGTTTAATGTTCTAATCACATTTCTTGGTGTGATGCTGGAGGTAATCTTCAGTTTTTTCGTTGAGTATTGTTCAATTTACTCCTGTAATTGGTATTTGATTGCATAGCTTATTGATTATTGTATTTTTTATTACCTTATCACATATTATATTTAATATCATCATATTAAGTATCATCATCAGCGTTACACCTCGGCATGGGCTTTAGCTGCATTAACCAGCTTTCTTCATTCTGCTTTGCATGTTGTTTTAGACCTCCAATTTTAGATACCCATTTTTCTGATGTTGTCATGTTATCGAGCCATCTCGACATATACATATTTGAAATTTATATGTATTTTATATACATATATCAGAATTGAATCAATTAATGTATTTATTTTTAATTTTTTTCAGTGGGCGCCGGCATGTCCGACTTAATGAATATCGTATCAGCCGTAGCAAACAATTTCAATTTGAATCCACCACCTCCTCCGCCAATACGTTTGGGTTGCGGAGAGTTGCGTTCACATCATAATGGAATATTAGTTGAGTTAACCGGACGAATGATTAAAAAACGTGTATCACGTTTTGCTGAATTGCGTGATCGTAATGGTGGTGCTACGCAATTGGTTATATTAGATGATAAGGTATGTGAAGCATATATAACAATTATAAATGATAATATAATAATAAATATCTGCGTATATTTGTAGTATCCGCGATTAGCACGCCGTATGCAAAATATGCCTGAAAACTCAGTATTAACGATAGTTGGAATTGTACAACGCCGACCACCAAATTCATGGAATCAAACAATGCCAACAGGCGAAATTGAAGTTGAAGTATGTGATATTATAAATATTGGTTTTCCTGTAGGCTTCAAACGTGCTGGTGATAAACGTTCCTTCAGTACAATGGCTCAAGAGAAGAGTTGTGGTATAACAAGTACAGAATACAAGATTGCAAGTATGTTAAATTAAATTCAATAATTGTTAAATATTTATAAGTAAATAAATTCACTTATAGAAAATGAGAATATTTTAAAATATTTTGAAAATCGTGATCTCACTTGTAATGATTTGCGTCGCAATGATATTGGCAAAACCGTCACATTAGTGGGCTGGATACCCTCTACGAAAAATAGTAAATTTATGCAATTAAAGGATGGTTATGGCCAAACACAAATAATAATTGAAGATCAAACTGTAAGTTTTTATTAGTTCTTTATTTTTAAATTAATTCAGTAGGTAGACTAGACAATGAGTTCACTTAAACCTGTTGTTATACTTAATTTATTAATACCAGTGTGACCCAATTAAAAATTATTTTTGATCGTTTATTGAACACTCGTACGATTACGTTTAAATTCAGCTTTTCACTATTTAATTGTTGTTAACGATGGTGCTAGGTTGCCGTAAACAGAATCCATTTCCAATTTGATTGCATCATTGTTCCTTCCTTTCAAATGAAGGGATTTTATTACTGAATAATATTCAATTTTTTCCATTTTATTAAAAATTACCAATTTGCACTATATAATTTATTTTCAAGAACCTGATCTCAGTCGAAACTGGTACAGCTATCGTTGCCACTTTTTGTGAAGTCAGGTTATTATCAATCCACCTAGTATACCAAACAAAGTGAGGGTTTAGGTATATGTTTTTAGAGGAAAAACTTCTTTATTTAACAGATTTTTAGCAAATTTGCATGTTCAGTATTATTAAAAACTACCCGTCTTTTTATTGGCGAAATATATAAATGACTTTATTTATTATGGTTATGTAGTCTGATTTTATTAATAGAGGCCACTGAAAGCAACAAGTTGCATATTCAAAATATTAGTTGAGAGAGGTTTTACAATATATTTTGTTGTTGCTACATTGTCTTTCATAACTGAATTCACTATAACAATTTGTTTTTGAATAATCGAAAACTTATTTTATTGGAATAAAAATACTTACTAAGTTATATATAATATAATATAATAATATAATTTTGATTTAAATCCACAGCTACAAGATACTTGTCTAACAGCACCTGAACAAACTGTCGTTCAAGTTGCTGGAAAGGTTCTTGGTAGACCGCGAGCAAATATCAATATGGTAACTATAATTTAGTCGAAATTCATAAATTTTTTAAATAAAAACTTTATTTTTAAAGAAATATGACACTGGAGAAGTTGAGGTTTTGGTTGAATCAATTAAAGTACTGAATCCTGACGATCCATATGATGGCCCAATTAAAAACAAAGAAAAGGTACAGAAATTGTCTATTAATGATTTAGATTTGGACAATGACGATTCTAGAAAGAATGGTAGTTCACACGAAGAAGGTGACTTAAATAACACCTCTTCATCTGACAAAACTAAAGTTGCTGATACCAATAAATTCACTGATCGGACACACAACTGTGGTGAGCTAACATCTATAAATATTGGCGAAAAAGTTGTAGCTTCTGGTTGGCTCGAATATCAACGCATGGGTAAATTTCTTATATTACGTGATGGATATGGACAAACCCAAGTATTGCTTACGGATAAAACTAAAGGCTTAGAAGAATACACTGAAGGGTTGTCGCTGGAATCTATTATTCGCGTGGAAGGAACAGTAATACCAAGACCTGCATCTACAGTAAATCCTAGAATGAAGACTGGTGAAATTGAGATAGATGCTGAAAAACTTACAGTACTTAACCATGCTAAAAAGAACTTGCCTTTTGAAGTGCGAAAATTTAATAGAGCCGGAGAACGTTTGCGTTTGACACATCGTTATATAGATTTAAGGTACAAAAACTGTTTTATGATTTGTTGTTGAATTTAATTTAATTTAATGCTTGAATATTTTCTTTGGAATTGTATTTAGATTTACTGATATGCAGAATAACCTACGTTTGCGTTCTGCGACCATAATGAAAATGCGTGAATATTTAATCAATTATTTAGGTTTTGTTGAAGTTGAAACGCCAACACTGTTTCGTCGTACTCCAGGTGGTGCTCAGGAATTTATAGTGCCTACGCGTAAACCGAATCATTTTTATTCATTAGTACAAAGTCCACAGCAATTCAAACAAATGTTAATGGCGGGTGCTGTCGATAGATATTTTCAAGTTGCTCGCTGCTATCGTGACGAAGCCACGCGTCCAGATAGACAACCTGAATTTACACAACTCGATATTGAGTTATCATTTACAACACGTGAAAGTGTTATGCAACTTATAGAAGAAGTTTTAAAATATTCGTGGCCCACAGAACACTCAAAAATTCAAACACCTTTTAAACGAATAACGTACGCTGAAAGCATGTCCAAATATGGCACAGATAAGCCGGATATACGTTTCGGATTTCTGGTACAGTTGTCAAAGCTCATAACTATCTATAATAAATTATTTGTCATATATATATTTTCAACAGCTAAATAATGTTAGTGATATTATCGCAAAAAATCCAGAACTGACTGCGCAGTTTGATGATCCTGCTGCGTATGCGATATTCGTACAAGGTTCAGAAGCTTTTTTCAATGCAGCTGCTCGGAAGCATTACGAGCAGCTGAGTAAAGATTTCAATGGCAAATTATTTGTACGCAAGTTTTCTGTAAGTCGAAGTTTTGTTGTATGATGATTATCTGGTGTTAAACTTTTAAACATGATTTCAGCAATTCAAAGATGTCTCAGAGCGCCTGACGAAAGCATTTTCAGAAGTAGTGGCAAGGGAGCTTATAGACAAATTTGTTATAGAAGAAAACGATCTCTTGTTTTTGGGCATCGGAAACAAAAAGGAAGTTGTAAGTATAAAATTCGTGGTTTATTTAAATTAGAAATTAAAAATTCTATAAACATTTTGTTTAACTGAGAAGTGATATAACTAGAACAATAGATATTGATGAATACATTCAGTTATTCAGAAGTATGAGGCTGGTTGGGATTTTATTGAACATTAACCTTTGGGTGGGTCCAAAGGTCAATTGGACGGAAGTGTGTGTGCGATGTGGCATAGCAGAACAGATGGATGATGTCATGGGGGGTAATGCGCACACATTAGGAATCGACGTATTTATGCGTGACAAGTAACTGTTTAGCTGATATCAATTGAGTTAGGACAGTTCTTGCTGCACGGAGGAGACGTCGTTCTTCCAGGGAGATGTTAGGCACAGGCTGTTTAGAACCTTATTGTCTGACCACCTTGGTTTGGAAGAAGATACTGCATCTGTGTGGAGTGTTATAAGTCTACGTTTATATTCGACCTCACTGATGTTAGTTCCATTGCAAAGGGTGTCGATATGACTATGATGGAAAGGCATTGAAAAAACCTTACGAATAAAAATATAAAATAAATAATATTTTCAAACAGTACAGAATGTAGTTAAAGGAAGCAAATGCATAAATAGTTAGGACTAAGACTGGAAGTACTAGCTGGGGGTTGTGGATTGAGAATTTTAAAATAAACTAGTGTCTATGTTCAGAAATCTCATTATATTCCTTGTTAAGGTTTGCTTAGAGCATAAGTATCATTTGTGGATTTATTAAAAGGTTTTGATTAATAAAAAAGTTATATACTAAAACTGAGTATCAAATTATTTTATTGTAGTGAATAAGTAATAACAAATGAATAAATAATAAATAAGTAAAAATAATAAATAGATAAATAATTATATAGTTTGAATAAAAAAGTATATGAAAATAGTTTACTATTTTGAATTAATAATTAAAAATATATATAATAATTAAACAATAATAATAAAATAATAAATAATAATAAAGTAATAAATAATAATAAAATAATAAATAATAATAAAATAATAATAAATAATAATAAAATAATAATAAATAATAATAAAATAATAATAAAATAAGAATAAAATAATAATAAAATAATAATAAAATAATAATAAAATAATAATACAATAATAATAAAATAATAATACAATAATAATAAAATAATAATAAATAATAATTGTGTTTGTCCTTTATTTCTTTCTTTGCTATTCAAAATCCCTCTAAATTTAATAAAATAATGATAAATAATAATAAAATAATAATAAAATAATAATAAATAATGATAAAATAATAATAAATAATAATAAAATAATAATAAATAATAATTGTGTTTGTTCTTTATTTCTTTCTTTGCTATTCAAAATCCCTCTAAATTTAATAAAATAATAATAAATAATAATAAAATAATAATAAAATAATAATAAAATAATAATAAATAATGATAAAATAATAATAAAGTAATAATAAAATAATAATAAATAATAATAAAATAATAATAAAATAATAATAAATAATGATAAAATAATAATAAATAATAATAAAATAATAATAAATAATAATTGTGTTTGTTCTTTATTTCTTTCTTTGCTATTCAAAATCCCTCTAAATTTAATAAAATAATAATAAATAATAATAAAATAATAATAAAATAATAATAAAATAATAATAAATAATGATAAAATAATAATAAAGTAATAATAAAATAATAATAAATAATAATAAAATAATAATAAAATAATAATAAATAATGATAAAATAATAATAAATAATAATAAAATAATAATAAATAATAATTGTGAAATTGATAAAATATGTTTTGTTTAATATTATTACTATAAATTTTTTGTTATATATATACAGATCTGTGATCACCCTATGTCCCTAATTTACGCCCCTGCTTTCTAGCATAGATGAACCTAGCTCGCTAGATATTAAGTCTATATGTTCACATCCCTCTACACTGATTACTGGAATGAAATTCCCTCAATACTGTGGAAATCTTTTCCATTCATTTCTAAGAGTTGGTTTTAACGGGTTCAAAAGTTTTACACTGTGTCTTTCGATGATTCACCTTTAATATAATAATTAACCTTTTTTCATGATCATATTTTAATAATTTTAATTATAATTACTACTTAAATAGGTTATTTATTAATTATACTATTTTTTATTTTTTTTTTATTTTTTAAATATTCATGACGCCTATTACAAATTTACGTGGAATTTTAGTTACATCTATTATCACTTAGAATTGATAGGTCTATGTGTGTCTTATAGCCAGGCCTATAGTTGTCTAATAGTTGATCAACTTATCAACTTAACATATATAGAAATAAACAACAACCACAAGTACAGTATAATGATCATTTTATATCTTAAAGAACTCTAAGTGAAACTTTAAAAAAATAAATTACTTTTTTCGAAATTAAATTTAATTAATTAAAAATATTAGTATTAACATTGTAATCTGAATTACTCCAACCGAAAATGAGAATTATGTATTTTCTATTCAACGGCTTTGCAGACAACACAAAATTGACAACAAAACCGCGACAGGCAAATGACAGCTTCCCTCGTCTGTGGATAACTGACATGTCACATACATTAACATCGTACCGCGTATATTATTTATTTGACATCTTGCTATCAAACGCCTTCGCTATTCCCATTAAAATTTTATAATTATTTTTGTTAAGAATATATAAAATAATTTATTAAACTTATATAAAATTGTTTTTTTAATGTAGGTAAATATTTATCATTTTTAGTAATAAAAAAAAAACTTAATTTTATTGTGACATCCAGAAAAGAAAGAAGAAGAAGTGAAAATAACGCAAATAGCGCAAATAACTCGAAAGCCGGCATAACCTCACAAGGATGTATTATTGCGCAAATATTATTTAAGGAATTCTAATATGAACAAAAATTGCATCAAAAAATTTCCAATTGGACAAAATAATGCCAAGTTATATCAAAATACTTTTTTTTTTTAACAAATGCGAAATGCAAGATAACATAACATGCAAAGCACTAATAAACAGTTTTATTTAAAACTGACAGCATTAGACATTTCTTATAGTTTGTTTTATTTAACTAATATTATGAATGCAATTACCAAAATAATAGCGTTCCGATTTTCCCTCAATTAGCTGAATAGAGTTATTTTCAAC